TGTATGGAATAAAAACATAAGTTGACTGATCAAGATAAATAAATTAAAGTTGGGTGACCAATATGGAACTACTCTGTAAGTTGGTTGACCTTTAGTGAAATTGTTTCTAATATGGCTTAGCTCCGAAGTATCAAAATGAAGGGCTTCGGAACTGTACATTTACGTCCACAACAAAATTTAATTGATTATTATTCGGTTTAGCTTAAAAATTTGCTTTTATTAAGCTCAAATTTGGTTCCCAACTTCTAAAAATTATTTCTCACCATACTCGTTTTCATTTGCACATTTTTCAATAAAATAATTTGCATATAAACTCATAACTTTTCAATCATATATTTACACATGGGCTAAATTCTATTTGTGAATAAAAATCGCACCATTGCTACTCTAATTCTACCATAGATAGAGCTTTGTTACCCGATATAATACGAACCCTTTCTCGATTTTCTCACATTGTTGTATTTTTTCTCTCTACTTTATAACATCTTATCAGCACAATAACTTGATTTTTTTTCTCCGCAAAATTGCTGAATCTAGGCAACTTGCAAAATTGTGATAATGGTTAATATCTCAACGATCCATGGTTTGATCAGTTGTAATTAAACAACACATTATTGTTCTTCAAATTTAACTGTTAAGTTCGACATCTAACAGTTGATTAGTGAGTAATCTCTATCTAAATAGTGTCGAAATTTGATCTATCAAATCTGAAAACTACTTTAACTCAATAGCAATATTTAGATTGCGAATAATTTAGCCACGTTTGGTGGCCATTATTTATCAAAAACAATAAATGGTTGAAGACGAGTATGTAAAAAAATAATAATAATAAATAAGTTTTAATTTAAAAGTCATTAAACAGGGGTTTAATTCTTACAAAGCCCTTGATTATATTTTCTATGATTGACTGTATATTATGATTTGTGAATTTTTCTTTGAATTCTTTTTAATTTTTTTGCCTAACAATATATGTTGTAAATGTTCGAAACATAAATTCATATTTTATTAATATCTTGCAAAAACTTTCCGTAGTTATTTTTGAAAAGGTTCAATTTAATAAATACTAATAATTTAGAAGAATATTGTTATGTCGACGTTAATAAACATATATAAACTTATACATATAATATTCTAGAAGATATTGTGTTATTGCATCTGATGAGCATACATTATAAGATCTACTTTTAATTACGCCTTTCTTAAAAAAATAAAAATAAAAAATCTTAAAATTCTACTAATATTACAAAAGAACAATATGTTGTAGCTGCTCATATACATATCCCTGAGGAATATTTTGTTGTAGCTCATGAAGAAGTAGAACTTTACATTTTGTTAATGTTTCAAAAGAATATTAATTACTTCCAAATAGCAGAAATATTTAAGATCTAATATTTTATAAGATGTTATGCTATTGCTCTTGAAGAGCAAATTATAGGGTCAATCCTTTAGAATAATAATTTGTTATTATTTTTGAAGAAATAAAGGAATAAACTTCCTCTACAGACCCATTTGCACAGGGTCTGTACAGGGCCTCTCACATGGGGATGGACCCCACATGTGTACCCCATGTGTGGGGTCCACCTCCATATGAGAGCATCTGTACATACTCTTTGCAAATGAGTCTGTACGAATAACACAATTCAGAAGTAAATGTTATATTAATGTTACTTGATCCCATAAAGAAGCACTAGTTTGGTTTAAGCAATATTTTCAATGAGTCTTGTGTTATGCTCTCAAAATAGCACAAGTCTTGAAAATGAGTTATGTGGATTATATATACACTGTGTTTTTGTTTCTGAAAAAGCATAAACTTTGTAAATCAATTTTCTATAAAACTGAACATTGATACTACCAAAGAGGAACGACTTCAATATTTAACTATTTTAAGCATGAAAATTCTAGAAGAAATTAATAATACGATTTAATCGCATGAAAAATATGTGTATGTGTATTTTTAGTGTAATTCATTTGAAAAATTAGCTAATTAGTCAAATTAAATTTTGATATGTTGTTTAACTAATAAAATTACAAATTGCATCACTATTAATGTTTCAATTTGAACAATATTCTTAAAGCAATACGTCGACATGCTTAGTAATGTGTTATATTTGATCAACGTTGTTAAAATACGATTCTGGTTTCGTTAAATATTATTATTTTTGTCATATATGAACATTTACATCTTGATTATGTCCAAGGAGGGATTTTATAAATATTGTTATATGGAAACATGATCACCAAGCTCATATTATTGTTAGATAGGTTTAATGGTAACTAATTCATCCAAATAGATTGTGCATGGTTATTGATATAAGCTAGCTTAGAGAACCACCCCCAACGACGAACAAGGCGTGTCACTACATGTCGACGCAAAGCCATCAACCCCCCGGGGGCGCTCTGCCTCTACGCGGGACCATCTAACCCCCGGAAGCGCTCTACCTCTACGCGAGGCCATCGACCTCTCGAGGCGCTATACCTCTACGCAAAACCATCTACCCCCGAAAGTGACCTATGTGGCCACCCCCACACTTAGCCAAAAATCTCAGGTAATTTGACAAAGTTCCATGGTGGTTATTACGAGCACAACATCCAGGTGGGAAGTTAGAGATCCCCCAGGAGAACGTGGGTTAATGGGGAAGCCAAAGTGGGACACGTGGCACCACGATCGCCCGGCACTCACCCGACTTCCAGCACCTATAAATACCCCCCAAGGCGACACAGGTAAGGGGATTGACATTTTTTTAAACTATCTGAACTCCATCCTTATTTCTCCTAACACATACTGATTCTTACACCGGAGGTAAAACGGGGGAGAAAGCCCCGCCCTCACTTTTTAGGTTGTATACGCTCGCCGGAGTAGCAGGAACGCCAATGGCCACTAGGTAGATCAGGAACTATTATTCCACCACAATGTCATTGATGCGGTCTGTGGGAAGTTTCTTCCATTGAACACCAAAGTCATATCAAGAAGACAAACAAGAAGTGACACGTGTTTGAGAGCAGCAACGACGGAGACGGAGTCGAAATCAGTCGCTAGAGGCCCCGACCCGCCACCGCCATCGCAGTATGTGACACAAAGCCAGTTTAGCGCCCTGGAGACCCAGCTAGCGGCTATGATGACCTTCTTGTAGAATCAAATGCTAGGAGCCGCCCTCCTGCCGCATTCGGTGGAAGCCGCGCCGCCACCCCAGGAGATGCACATAGAAACTCCGCCTGTCATCCAACTGGTAACTGCATGCTCGGGGGCTCCAGGGGCTACGGTCTTGTAGCCTAACCCACCCATGGCGGATCTGGAACGGAGGATGGAGGAGATCATGACACATAAAATAAATTATACAATATCAAAGAGAAGGATAAGAGTAGCCAGATGGTCTTAGAAGATGACCCATTCGCTCCTGAAATTATGGCGGCCCCCTTACCTAAGGGCTTCAAGCAGCCTATGATAGAAGCTTACGACGGGGTCATAGATCCACTTGACCATCTCCGGACCTTCGTTGATTTAATGAGGCTCTATGCAGCACCTGATGCAGTCATGTGTCGGTCTTTTCCCCCGACCTTTAGGAGAGAAGCCAGAGACTGGGTAGCGACACTTTCCCCCCGATCTATCTGAAAATTTGATGAAATTTTCAGGAGCTTTGTGGCCTACTTCCTTAGTAGTAAAAGAAAGAGGAAGACGGCCATCAGGCTGATGCAGGTGGTCCAGGAGAAGGACGAGTCTCTGCAAGAGTATCTGGCCAAATTCAACTGAGGTCAACAGTGGTGATTGCGTTGATGAACGGAACTCAGAATCGAACCTTCAAAATGTAACTTTTCAAAAACCCTCCAGAGTCAATGCACGACCTATTGAAAAAGGGAGACAAGTATGTTGATGCTAAAGAAGTGGAGAAGGTCACAAAACACCTTAGAGAGGGATGGGAAATGGAAAGTCAAAAGCGAAAGGTGGGAGACAAGAAGAGATCTGCCCAAGGAAAATAAGCCAAGGAATGTGCAGACGGGTAAGGGAACCATCCAAGACCGACAAGTCAGGCAAAAATGGGAGGAGCCCAGGACGTTCACCCCTTTAAACACCCCATGCGCGAAGCTATTGATGGAGATACAAGATATGAAGGAGCTTGAATGGCCGAGGCCCATGGTAATGCTACCCGCAAGAGAAACCAAGGCAGATATTGTTATTTCACAAGGATCACAGGCACGATACGGAAGAGTGCCTGCAGCTGAAGGAGGAGATCGAGCGCCCCCCTAAGACGAGGGCTCTTGAGTAAATATGTGAAGGACAACTGGAGTAAACAAAAAGTGGAGGACTGCCCCCGCCTAGGGCGGGAGTGATAAACGTGATTGCAGGAGGTGGAGATTCAAACTCAGCAAGGAAAAAGTACACACGTTCTCTTGGGATCTGTTCCATCCAAAGGAAAGCGAGGTTTAGTCAGAACAACACTTTTGGCGAGGAGGATTTGGTGAGCGTAGCCCACCCCCATGACGATGCCTTGGTGATAGTAGGCGACATAGCTGATTTTGACGTCAAGAGGGTGGTAGTTGATGGGAGAAGCACTGCAAATGTACTTACATGGGATGCTTTTTTGGGCTTAAAGATCCCCCCTAACAAGTTGAAAACAGTAATCACCTTCTTACAGAGCTTTGGAGGGGCCACGGTAATTCGAGAAGGGACCGTAGAACTCCCTGTCACGCTTGAGACATATCCGACCGCTGTAGTAATCGTTGCAAGCTTCTTAGTTGTAAAAACTCCCATGGCCCATAATGCGATCTACGGTCGGCTATTGCTGAACGCAACTGAAGCCATCCCCTCGACCTATCACCAAGTCATGAAATTCCCAACCAGCAGGGGAGTCGGGTGTGTGCGAGGGGACCAGCAAGCATCCAGGAAATGATATGTCAACAGTATATCAGTGAAGAGAGCACCATCGATCATGATGTTGGAGGTTGAACCTCTGAAGGGACGGATCGAACCACTTGACATGATTGAAAGGATCTCTGTATCAAAAGGACGGGAATTTAGCATCGGGAACGGTTTGGAATCTGATGAAAAAGTGAAGTTGGTAAGGTGTTTGGCAGATAACCTAGATGTTTTCGCATGGAGCTCAAATGACATTACTGGGATCAGCCAGCCATCGCCTCTACGTCTTCCCTGGAGCTAAACCAATGAAGCAGAAAAAGAGGAACCTCGACCCCGAAAGGCAGGAAGTGGTAAAAGTGGAGGTGGAAAAGCTACTGCAAGCTGGTTTTATTTGAGAGGTGCAGTACCCTGAGTGGTTGGCCAACATCATGTTAGTTAAGAAGTCAAACGGAAAATGGCGCATGTGTGTAGATTACACCGGACTTAACAAAACATACCCAAATAACTCATGCCCACTCCCCCAGATAGACCACCTGATCGACGCCACGTCAGGTCATGAAAGACTTAGCTTCCTAGATGCATTTTTTGGGTACCATCAAATCTCTATGGCTAAGCTCGACACAATATTGTTACATGACCATGCCATTCAGCCTCAAAAATGCTAGAGCAACCTACCAAAGGATGGTGAATAGAGTCTTTCGAGAGCTAATCGAAAGTGTAATAGAAGCCTACGTCGACGACATGGTAGTGAAAAGTGTCAAGGCTATCGATCATGTGGCTTGTCTACAGAAAGTATTTGATGTGGCCCGACATAATAACTTGAAGTTCAACCCGAAAAAGTGTCTTCAGTGACGAAGCCCTCAATCGCTTCATGAGTCGGGTGGCGGATAAGTGCTACCACTTCTTTAAAGCCATATGGGGCTCCACCAATTTCAAGTGGACTCAAGAGTGTGAAGAATCGCTGGAATCCTTAAAAAAGTCACTACAGTAGCCTCCTATTTTGACCACCCATGCCCGGATGACCTACTGTGTCTCTACCTAGTGGTGTCACCACGGGCAGTTAGCGTTGTTCTTGTGAAAGAACTCTCAAAGGCACAAAAATCGGTCTACTGCGTCAGTTAGGTCCTCAAAGGTGCAGAGAAAAGGTACAGTCTGGCCGAACAGCTGGTGTTCGTGTTGATTGTTGCAGTGAGGAAGCTTAGACCTTACTTTCAATCTCATACGATGCAAGTAATGACTGACCAACCCATCAAGTAGATCCTACATTGACCAAAAACCTCTGGGAGGCTACAGAAATGGATGATCGAAATAAGTGAATTTGACATTGAATTTAGGCCCAGGACGGCCATCAAAGCACCGGCTCTGGAAGACTTCATTGTCGACCTCACCATCCCGACAGAGCCCCCAGAAGGGTAGAAGGCAGATTGAAAAATCTTTGTAGATGGTTTCTTGAATGCAGAGGGATCAGGAGTAGGAATCATAATGATCGGACCAGACTCCGAAGAATTGGAATACTTGCTGCGCTTTGAGTTCCCCACTACCAATAACGACGTTGAGTATGAGGCAGTCATTACAGGCTTAGGTCTGGCAACAAGGCTGGAAGTGACTTCACTGGAGGTATGCAGTGACTCATAGTTAATAATAGGGCAGGTATCGGGAGAGTACGAAGCAAAGGATGGGAGGATGGCAACATACCTAATGAAAGTAAGGGATTTGCAAAGAGGGTTCTCAAACTTTAAGATGATGAAGGTCTTGCGAAGAGATAATGAGCGCACAGATGCACTAGTAAAGCTTGCATCGGCCAACCCAAAAAACTTTCCTCGAACAGCGAGTGTGCAAGTCCTACAAAAAATCCAGCATTCAGCGCTGGGCTGAAGTGAAGAATATTGAACACAAGGAAAGTTGGATGGATCCGATAATCAAATATCTAGCATAAGATAAGGTGTCGAGGCAAGGAAATTGAAAGCTCGAGCAACTTCATTTACCATCATCGATGGGCAGCTCTACAAGCGAGGTTTTACCATGTTATATCTAAAATACATACGCCCTACCAAAGCCAAAGATCCAAATCATCGATCCAGTATTAGATGTAGCCTTTCCGTCGGGCAAGATGCCTAGTACTGTTTGAGGTACATGTCGGGACCTAGGTAACCACCAAGGGACAACATCCCTTGCCTTCAAAATTCTACGACAGGACTACTATTGGCCAACTATGAAAGAGGATGCTAAAGAGTTGGTACGAAAATGTGACACATGCCAGCGTCATATGAATTTGATCTGTGTCCCAGCCGAACAGTAGGCAAGTATATTTGGGGTGTGCCCATTTTTTCAGTGGGGACCTCTGCCCATGGCCAAAGGGCAGAGGAAGTTTTTCCTGGTCGCCATCGACTACTTCACTAAATGGGTGAAGGCGGAGCCACTGGTGACCATTACGACAGGAAAGATACAAGGTTTCGTATGGAAAAATATAATATGTCGGTTCGGAGTACCCAGGGTATTGGTGACGGATAACGATAGGCAGTTTGATAATCATAGTTTCAAGACCTTTTGTGGAAGTTATCACATCGATCATAGACTGACCTCGATCGTCCATCCTCAATTGAACAGGCAAGCCGAAGTGACAAACTAAGTCATTCTCTAGGATCTGGAGACCAGATTGGAGAAGGAGAAAAGGCTGTGGGCAGATGAGCTGCCTAATGTGCTATGGACGTATCACACGACTCCACGAGAAATGATCGGAGAAACACCATTTAGACTAACCTTTGGGATGGAAGCAGTAGTCCCAGTTAAGATCTTAAGTGAGACTGGTAGGATGAAAATCAAGCAGTCGAATGACACTGCGACTAGAGGGGAACTCGAACTGCTTGAGGAAATAAGGGAGAAGGCGGCAATCAAAATGATGGCCTATAAACGGAGAGCCGCTGGGTACTTCAATCGGAGGGTGAAACTAAAAATATTTCAGCCAGGAGACCTTGTTTTAAAGGATGCAGCAACAGCAGGACACCCCTCGGTAAAACTCGGACCAAACTGGGAAGGCTCGTATAAAGTAGTCCACAGCCTAGGGAAGGGAGTCTATAGCCTGAAAGACACGAGAGGAAGACCACTGGGTAGGCCATGGAACACAAAGCATCTCAAAAGATATTGTCGGTAGACTTCAGGATAGATACACAGGCTATGTTCTTGTAAATACTGTAGAATAGGTTGCATTTTTAATTCCCTCCATGTAACGCCTTACAAAGGCGCCTTTCGTTACAATTATTTATCGTATTTAATGAAAGACCTTGGTAGTGACAGATGATGAGGGCGCTAAGGAAGGGCCAGCCTAGTTGGGACGTCCCGGTGCGCCTTCTGAGCTCACGAATTCAAGTATTTTTTATGCTAAAATGCAATCTTGAATCTCCATGCTCATCCCGTGAAGACATACGATCGACATAGCCCACGCGGCTAGGCGGAGAGTCTTGAAAAGCTAAAAAATTGGCTAAAGCCCTTAACCGTCAGACCACCTCCTGAAGATCGACATAGCCCACGCGGCTAGCTGGAGAGCCTTGAAAAGCCAAAAAATTTGCTAAGGCCCTTAACCGCCAAACCACCTCCTGACGGTCGATATAGCCCACACGACTAGGCGGAGAGCCTTGGAAAGCCAAAAAAATTGACTAAGGCCCTTAACCGCTAGACCACCTCCCGACGGTTGGCTAAGCGGAGAGCCTTGAAAAACCAAAAATTTTGCTAAGACTCTTAACCACTAGACTCTTCTCCCAACGGTTTACATAGCCCATGCGGCTAGGCGAAGAGCCTTGAAAAGCCAAAAAATTGGCTAAGCCCCTTAATCGCCAAACTACCTCCTGATGGTCGACATAGCCTACGCAACTAGGCGGAGAGCCTTGGAAAGACAAAAAATTGGCTAAGGCCCTTAACCGCTAGACTCCTCTTCCAATGGCCAACTTAGCCCATGTGGCAGGCGGAAAGCCTTAAATGGTCAGAATGTTGGCTAAGGCCATCGACCATAATCAAGCCTAGTGTGCGTGGGACGAATGACATTCACCCACGCTATCAAATGACTGAACGTGGAAGACAACACTAAAAAAAACAAGTTAAAAGAATGATGCGTTCAACATTAATAACCGCTGATAACATAGCATTCATACAAAAAGCATGTGATGTGCTATTGCCCACACCCCAGATAAGTAGCGAATGATGCTACAAGTAGAAATAAAAGGCGACACAAAGAAGAGGAAAACTAACAAAAGATGCTACTACTAAGCCAAACTTCAACTCAAAGGGAAAGCAACACCGCTGTCATCCCACGACGAATGATCAAGTGACCTAGATGGCTGTGCCCCACTATCCTTCTCCTTGCACTGTAGAAGGAACTTATCAAAACCTGAGGGGTCAATAGAAGGGTGCTCGGTCGATATCCACTCCTTGGTTAGTTTGATGGACGCCGCTGATAAGTGTGTTTTTACACACTTATTTGGATCATAAACATGACTTAAACATGGATAAAATGGTGGAATTGTGACTTGATCCAGTTAAATTTATGTATTGTAGGTAATTCAATGGAAATTGTGAAATTCAGGAGAAAAGAGCCGAAGAAGGACCAAAACACAACAATTTGATAGTTCGAGGACCAAAGGTGCAAATATTGAAAAGTTGAGCTAAATGCAAAAAGAGAGGGAAGACATGCCAAGTATAAGCTCAATGACAAAGCAAAACAACTGGAAGAGCCATCGCCTTCCCCCCATATGAATGCAAGGCCCTGGCATAATCAGACGATGACTTGTACTACTCCACAGATGCCTCTAAGTCCCTAGTATACTCAGCAGAGGCCTTATACGTCTCAACCGCTTCCTCCGGAGCACGAGCCAACACAGACCGCAAATTGTCATTCTCTGTCTCTTGCTCGCGGGCTCGAGCCTCCAACGCCTCTAAAGATTTCTTCAAGGAAGATATCTTCTTCTTGTAATGATGAGCCTCTTTCTTCTTTTCTTCTGCAAGACTCTTCAATTCTAAGGCCTAGCTACTGCTCGATTCAGT